TCTTCTTGAACCTTATATAGCATTATTAAATAAACTTCAACAAGAGAAAAGTTATCTCACTGATGTTTTACATAGTTTCAGATAGGATGGAAAGTAATTAAGAGTATTTCTGCTCATAAACTTAAAAATTTTTTGATAACAAAGCTAGAAAAATAATAATCAACTTGGGAACAACTATTGTTATTTTTATCTTTCTTATTATATCTAGCTTATCATAGTTCCTACTTTAATCAAAGCCTCAATAATCTTTCTATTGCATATATAGGAGATTAGATTAAGCACCATTATCATGCCTGATTTAATAAAACTTCACAGTCTATTTTGAGTAAATTATAATATTATGAAAATAAAGAGTATCTATTTAACGAAAAAACTTATATTCAATTTGGTGATAATATATTATGATACTAGAATTTCTGTAAGGGAGTTGCTGTAGAATTGCATCTTGTAGCAATTTGTATTTTCTCAATTTGTTTAATAATAGCTTAAGTAGAATATTTGTTTTCTGCTATGAGATAATTTCACTTGATATAGCATAATCAACTTAAGGCAAATATATTTTTTGCTTTTTTTTTTACTTATATGATATTTTCTGTTTTTTTAAATTTTATTTATTAATTTTTAATTATTTTTATCATTTTATATTCATAATCTTATAGTCTGAAAAGTTCTTGCTATGTACCAAATAAAGTCTAGACTTATATGTTTACAAAATATTATAGCTATTGATAAGTCATTAAGAATATATAATCAAAATATTGCAATTCTATTTAAAGAAATAAATCTCATCAAAGATATGAATGAAAAAATTTATTAGATAATATTGAGTTAGAATATGAAGTTCAGATAGATAAAACAGTTAGCTCTGTGGATAACTGGAAGACAATTATAAAACAATAGATAAACTTTTCTGAAGAGGAAAAAGATAAATATATAGAAGATGATTCAGATTATTCAAGTAAATCAAAAGTTATGAATGATTTATATAAAAAAATATTTCAAGATTGTACTATTTATTCTGCAGATAATTTGAAAATAAAATAGAAATTAGCAGATATTTTTACAAATTCGTTAGTATAATCTGCTTATATCAATTTGCTTTTAGGTAATTAAAAGCATAATCATTAATACTCTTATTATATAAATATAAAGAGTAACAAAAGCTCTAATTATATAAATAACTTAGAGTTGTTTTTTAAATGATACACTATTAATAAAGTTAATTATTTAAAAATTTTAAAGTTATTCATTCATATGATTATCATTATTAGCTTATTGCAATGATAAATTTGGGTTAAATTATTATAATATTTATTGGTTTATATAAAAGTTTCATATAGTAAACCCCACAATAGTCATATCAGTATTTGTTACAATCCTGCTATAGTCACCTTGATTCTTTTATCTATCTATATATATACTATATATAAATTCTTGCTCATTTTAGTCACAATCTCACAATAGGTATATAGAATATCTGATTTTTGCATGTGATTATTGTGTAGTTCTACTGTATATATAGCAAACTTGGTGATTTAAATATATATAAGGTATTAATTTTGTAGCAAGACTAGATAAAAAAAATATGATTCTTAAATTCTAAAAATGAATACTTGATTGGTTAATCAAATTAATTTGTTTAATTATTACTTGAATTAATAAATCATAATTACTGTATTTATGCAAAATAATGCACATGAGCATTATTTTGAAAATTGCATTTTCTTAAAATAGCATAGTTGGTTTTAAAATAACACCTATGTGTATCCCAAAATAATGCATACCCATATACTAATGTTAATAAATCACCTTGATATTTACTATTATTAATTGGATCATTTTATTTGCCTTGAAATAACACCTATACACATACTCTAAATAGCATGCATCTTCTTGAAATAATATGCAGATATACATTATTTCACGTAAATACAGTAAATATATTTCATATTCTGGTTAGCAAAGGAAAGTTTATATTCAAATTTTATTAATATATGCAACATTTTTATAATATATTTTGACTTGCAGATTAATAAATAAGTTGACAAGGATAAATTTATTTTTAACCAATCAAATTTATAATAATTGTTACATGAATTACATGTTATTATTTAGACTAAGTGCTTATATCTAATCAAAAAATATAGACAATATGAACTATGTTCATATTTGTTCAGATCCAATAGTCTATATTGTCCATATCCATATCTTAACAACACTGCTAGATACTATATACAACGCTATATAGTAATTATAATGATTTGATTAAATATATGCTTCATATTCAATAAAGTGTAATCAAAATTTTATATACATATGCTTTAAAAAATAGAATGCACCCATGTTATCTCAAGTAATACAAATTTTTTAATAGTGGCTTGATTATAATTAGTAGCAATTTTCTTAAAAAAAATTCTTGTTCTATTATAGGTTGAAAATTTTTGAATATTTTGTATAAATATTTTAGATTAAAAGTATTTTAAATATTATGAATTAAGAGTCTTTAATATTACGGATATCTGGAATATTTGACAGATTGATCGACAAAATTAAGAAAAAATTTTTTTATCTCAAAATTTTGCCTATAAAACTGCTTGTGATGCTCTAAGAAAAAAATTCTACTCACAATTTTGGTTTATATCTTACTTAAATCCTCTTTTTAACTCCTTCTAGTCTAACTCTAACAATTAAAATTGATTTAATATTGGCGATACTAATCAATTAGCATAATCTGTCACATATTCTAGTCTTGCTAACATTACGAACTTGACATATAATCGACAAACTCTGCTTATTTCTCATTGATGATAGAAAATTGTAACTTGTAAATCTATAAGTACTACAAAAAAAAAAGTACATGACAGTAGAAGAACTATTTGTATTATGTCATTGCTAATATGGTATTTATTTAATATGCGATTAATCAGGTTTTATATTGTATGCAAGTCTTATCAGCATTAAGAACAGACCCGAGTCATTTTTCAATTAGTGGAAATTGAAAAATTATATACACCGATTAATAATTGACAGAACACATATTTATACATATGAAATGGTTAGACCTGCATTATGACTATTTTTATAATTTCTGAAATACTTGAAAAATAACTGAAATGATAAGTTTTTGATATCAGCTAATGTTAGTAGCTTATTGATTCTGACTCGATAACTTATCGATTTGGTTACTAGAAATATGAAAGTAGCTGAAACACCAACTTTGCTAACAGAAATAAAATTAGTTTTGCAAGATTCAGATGAATTTCAGCAAGGTTATTAGATCGGTATGCTACAGGCCAAAATTTGGAATTTGTATCGATATTATATATATTATTGCTAGAATTAGAAATTATAGCTAATCAGTATAGTATGGTTTTTAATTTTGGCTTGTACCATACTAATTGCTCACCCATGCCATCTTAATATCACTTCAACTTGGGATATATTAGATTTACTTATTTCTGTGAGTGATATAAATCACGTGTGAAGTTTTGACCAGTGTTAGGGTTAGGGTTAAGGTTGGTATTTGAATGTCATAGAGTAAAAGTTGGTATTTTGAGTTACTAGCGATGTTTTGAAAAAGCCATTGTCACGGGTTAATTTGGTATTCTGGAATTTTGTGGTGCCGGATTAGGATCAGGGTGCATAAGTGGCATGATTCGGATCTGCATGAATTGCGTGATCGTCAAATTAGTAGATGCATAAAAGTAATTTAAAGTCTAATTGTAGAATTGCATAATGCGTGTAACCCGGGTAATAATATATCCAGAGATAATCTTGTATTTAAGCATAACGATCTCTAATAATAAAGGAATAAATAATAAGTTTTAGCTTAGTGAAAACACGTTCTAAAAGAAAAACTGTGTGGTTAATATCGTAGTCTATTGGTGGTAGTATCTGGAACGATACTCCAGCCTGTGTGGAAAGCCAAGCGAGTTGAATTGGAAGGCCAAAAGAACAAAGACTCGTATAATTGCAAGTCTCCGTGACAGAAGGACCTGGGCAAGTAACAGCCTTACTCGCCGAATCTCGTTGGATTTCGTACTATGTGAACGACAAGGAAGAAACTGGGCAGTTGAACAGCCCTAATCGCCGAATTCGTTCAAGTCTTGCTGTGTGAAGGTCCAAAGAAGCCTGTGTTTGTTGAGGAGGCCGTGATCAGTGGAATTGAGGTGTTCCGGTAACGATTATTGTGTTGAAAGTTCGTGATCAAGCGTTGTGAAGGAAAATCAAAGGGATATCGTTAGTTAAAAGGTATTGCAAAATAAGGACAATAAGAAGTAAGAAGCAATACATATCTGTATAAGGATGGACATTCTTTTAGTATCATTGGTGGAAAACGTGGTAAAAATTGTAGTTGAAGTTGTGAATAACTTGAAGTCGAAACAAGTAAAACGACATCGTTATAAACCTCAGCTATGTTATGTATACTGACATAAAGGACATTTAGCTCTTGATTGTCCAAATCAAATGAAGCATGAACAATCAGAACATAGTATAGTGATACCTGAAAATGATAAAGTGAATGTAGATAAAAACAATAAACAGAAGAAAAAGAAGAATCATATGTATCCGGTTGATAAAATTGAGGATATAAGGCTTATTAGGTTTGGTAATAATAAATATGTGAAAAGTATTTGAAGGCGTGGTGAAAGTGTTAAAACGCATAAGCCAAGAACAAAGGGGAAAACAAATATTAATTCAGGTGGTCAAGGCAATTTGAAAATGAAAAGAGGAACGAAACTAAAAGACAAACCTGAAGGTTCCAACGAAAAGAGGACATTCAATCGTTATATAAAAGCTGCCGATGACAGATATAAAATGGTCGAATGGAATTTAAAATGTGCAGAAGGTGGTAGTTTATATAAACAGTGTGATCTTGGATTATGCGATCAAATCGAATAGGCGGAGCTGTTGATAAACAATTGGCAGCTGAAGGGGAATTAAAATTTGACGAAGAGGTTCTTGACAACTGCTATTGAAGTGATGAGGTGATGGTAGTGATGGAAGCACCATTGGACGAAGTAATGAGAATGGATGTGATGATGAGGTGTTTATTAAAATTGTTGACGAAAACTGAGTGTGATAGTAATGATGCAGATAATATAAATGGTGAAATCAAGGAGTGCGAAAGAGGTGTTAATGAAAAGCAAGAGGATACAAACAGAAAGGTGATTGTAAATAAAAAGGGAAATGAAGGGGCGTATGGAGTGAAAAACAAAAATGTTGAAAACATACTCATCTATAATAATGAAATAGCCCAAAATGTCAAACCTAATTTAGTATTCAGTGATGAAGACGTTGAAAAGGATGAATATGAGATATTCGTTCATTATCAAAAATCTGCTGAAATGGTTCACGTTAGTGAAGGAGATAAACCGGTTGAACATGAAGTTCTTGGTTATGCTGGTGAGGCTTTTGACACCATAGAGGACTTCAGTAAGGACGAAAACAAAGTATTCGATTATCAGCAAAGAACCATTGATGTTGGTAAAACTGCTAGAATTGAAGTTGATAGATCCAAAAATCGGAAGTCTGATACTTCTGATTGCGAGACAAATATGCTTCGATGGTTTTAGGAAGTGAATATCGGTCAGAAAAGTCGTGATCAAGACTGTTTCAATAAGGGAAGGTCTGACAATTCAAATGAGCAATCCAGCCTTGGAGATGGGATCGATGAAAATAAGCCAAATACTAATCTTGAAATAAAGATGCCTCCGATTAATGGTGCAGCCAAAAGTCCAGTTGAAAGTAAAGATCTCAGTGCTGATCAAACCGAAGGTGATGTTGAAGGTGCAAAAGATATGCTACAAACGTCCAAATCTGTAAATGATGGTATGAAAGTGAAAAAAGGGTTGGACTATGGATCATTGTCTAGGTACTGTTGTAATGTCAAGCACAAATGGGATAAAAGTGGCATGTCTAGAGCGCAAAAACCTTGTGCCGGAAATTCAATGATGGTATTGAATGTGTTGGATCAAATAAAGAAAAGAGAATTTTACAGCTGACTTTACCTGGATCATGTAATTGAATGTGATAGGTTGGAATATGCACTGTTTGGAAACCAGTTCAAAATGCGCAAGCTTGGACATTTGGACTTGCGAGTATGGTAATGCTGTGGAAATGTTTGAGAAAAAAAAAAAAAAATTTTTTTATATATTAATTGAACAATGTATTGCATTTATTAGTGTATTTAGGTAGCATTAGGTTTGGTAGTTAAGTAAGGTATTGTGAATGGAATATTTTGTGTTAATGGTATAGTTTTGCAAGGGTTGAAACTTCAGAGACGAAGTTCCAGGGGATCTAGCTCGTGTCATAGGTTAATTTGGTACCCTGGGATTTTGTGGTGCTGGATTAGAATCAGGGTGCATAAGTGGCATGATTCGGATCTGCATGAATTGTGTGATCGTCGAATTAGTAGATGCATAAAAGTAAT